AGAAACAAAAACGAGAATGAAACTAAGTCATCACAGAAACAGAGAGCATGCATACATGATACATACGAGTGAAGAACATGTAATCATGCAAGCATACAAGCATGAGGAAGACGAACTGAAGAAATGAAAAACAACATGATGAAAGTCTTCAGTTCAAATTTTTCAGAAGGTAGATCACAAATATTTCAGCAGCGAATAACTTAAAGGTAAAGGGTGAGGAATTGGAAACCAAGTAGGCTCAGTGAAGACACATCGATTTGCTAGGCCAGTTCCAGTTGCTGTATCAACTGTACGTTTAGTTGAGGCGATTGAGATGAACTCAGAAGACACTTAGTCTTCACCGTATTCCTCTTGAGGTAAGGTCACAACAGACCTCGCCCAATCACTTGTGGTAAGTTTTGAAGGTAGACTTCCAAAACCTTCACAGTCTTGTTCACCGACACACCACAATTACTCTTGGGTGCTTAGAACATGACGCCTAACGGTCTCGAAGAATGACAATCTTCAAAAGTAACATGCGTTGGATCACACAGATCAATCTCTTCAGTGATGCTCAATCACTTTGGCTCTGGTTGGGTTTTTCCTCACTTGGGTTTCTCTCAAAGTCGCCAGAGGAAGGGTTGCTCTCAAATGACAAGTGTCAAGTTCTCTCTAGAGCAGCCAACCAACAAGTGTTTGTAGGGCGCGTCTATTTACAGCCAGGAGGCAACCTGGCATGAAATGTCATAAATGCCCCTTTGGACATGACCATTGTCAGGATAAGGATCCACTCGACAATTGACACACAGCGCAACAACGGTCGAAAAATTGAACTCTCAGTTTCATTGGGGCACTCAATTTCCTCATGATAGGCAGATCGCACTGGCAAAATCCTAACTCCTCAGACTGACCAAATTCGTCAGCGACCAAATGAATTGTGTCACTGTCGCTTTATAAATTCGTCAGCTGTACCAGAGGTTTCCAAAGGCTTTGCTCGAAGTAGCTATAGCGTGTATAGGTTTGAGCATCACATTGAAAATATGATATATGTTTCACCTAGACCCCCTTTAACAGTACAATTTTTCCTATGACTCAAATAAGAATAAGGAAACTATGAAAACAAAGCCTTCAAGATTCAAAGTCTTCACAGGTCGTACCAATTTCTTCACGTGAAGAAATACATTTTAGGGTTTTAGGGGTCGTCTTTCTTCGGTTAAACCAAATCTTCAAGGACTATGACACCTGGGTATACTCACAAACACATTAGTACCTTAACTTATTTGTCTTCAATACTCCAAAACCACTAAGGGGGCACTTGATGCACTTACAATCTCCCCCTTTTTGGTGATTGATGACAAATTGGTTAAGTTTTCAACGGGAATAAATAATGGAAGTTAACATAGTATGAAGAAATTTGCTACATGATATAGAGGAACTCTCCTGAAGATGTGCATATGATGAATTTGCTTTGGTTTGCAAATGCACCATGACAGGTTGGAATTGTGAGATCTCTCCCTATATCTTGGAATCCAATCATGCGTGATCATAAGATATTGAGGAATTTGAATGCATGATGAAAATTGGTGTATGAGGAAATACGACATGCATGAGTATATATCATTGAGGCACAAGGCATGCCTATAAAATGTAGCAAAAGAGTCAGACCACCAACAGTTATTGAGTTACAACCCAATCATAGAACACATCAACTAAAGCTAAAAGTTGCAACTTAAGCAAAAAACAACCCGGTATATATAAGACCCGCTTGAAGACTAACTCAAATTTCTCCCCCTTTGTCATCAAATGACCAAAAGGAGACGAAACTGAGGACTACGCCCCAGAAGAAAATCATCTTGAAGAATCCGGAGAAGCGCCATCGTTGGTGTTGGGGTCGATCGAAGCAGATGGGCCTGCAACAGTGTCTTCAACCTCTTCATTTTCGCCCATAGAGCGTGAAGGAGACACCGAGCTTGGGACGAGCTAAGGAACTTGGACTTTCCTGTAGTTCTTCTTGGGTGGATACGACCAATCAAAGTCTTGTTGGGATTTCATCTCTGCAAGTTCTTCAGGAGTCTTGAGATGTGATAATATGGCCCAACTTTTGTCAAATATATCGTGGGCATATAGTAATGGTTCTTGCGCATAGAGTTTTGCATCAGAATCATATTTGCAAGTATTGCAACAAGCTGACGCTTAACCCAGTTGTGGTTTCAATCCACTTTCTGATGCAGGCTG